TGCATTTAAAAAAGTACATTAATTTTGCCTTGGGCATTTTATAAAGGTTGGAAGTGTGAGAGAAACTGCAGAAAGACGAGTAGTGGGGGAGCTGGGTGTCGGAGGCTATAAACGGATTTCCAGCCAGCATTAGTAATTAACAGTCGTTAAAATTAATTGTCAAGTGTACAATTTGAAATGAAACATTTGGCTTCAATATGAGCTGTTTTTAAGTGTTGTTAAACCATTACTGAAACAGACCAGAACTGTTTTAAAATCTCCGCTATTGGACTCCCACATTCCTATCCAACTGCACTAGCGCTAGGCATTCAGAATTACCACTGATAATCTGGAAACAAAACTTTCAGAGAAGTCACTGATTTCAGTGAAATTGCCCCTGAAATGTCTATTTTGCTGGACACAAAAAAATGAACTTGGTTCTCGTTTAATTATTTTGAAGTGCTACTCAGCTCTTTGAAGTAACAAAGTAAAGACAACACCTTTTGTGTCAGTCAGTGGACTGTCTGGCTGTGTCTTTTCAGACTTACGTTGACATCCCCAGAGAGACTGGAGCTGGTTTCAGTGAGGGCCTTGTTTTGGGTCTGGATTTTGAGGTTCAAGCACCACTTCTGGCACTTGGCTTACAGCACTTTTCATTTGGTGGTGAGCACAAATAGGAAGAAAGCAACTTGACTTTTCCATTGTCTTTAAGCATATGTAGTAAGGAAGCTGGAGATAATAAAGATTAACTCTCAATTATTTCAGGCACACTTTTCAGAGCAAAGTGATTTCAGAGACGCTTTTGTCTACTGAGCAGAAAAGAAATAATTTTGGGCCAAAAATAACTATTGGTGTGTTATAATCATTTCTATCATCTGGGAATGCAAATACATTTTGTACCACTCGAAGGTTTAAAGCAGCTTTTGACGCAAAGTTGTCTTTGCTTTCTAGGAAGATGCTGAGTAAGTGGGATGAATTGGACACAGTTCCAAATAAGTTCTTATCATGACAAGGTACAAGGTGGTTACTTGTCTGTCCATGCCTGTGAGGGACAAAAGGCATCCCAGTCTACTCCGAAAGCTTACTGAGATGGCTGATTACAGCAAGGTGGCCTACTAGGCATCCTGCAACTGCCGTTTCTCTTACTCCATAGACGATAAATACTTTGGATGTCAGGGCAGAGGCAGATGAGTGGGAAAGCCTTGAGTTTGGTTCTTGCCTTTGTGTTCTAGTGTGAAGTAGCGGTACACACTAGTGGTAGCGTGTTCTAGTGGTACGCAACACACGTAACACCATCCACAGCTTCAGCAGTGCAGAAATGCTAGTGCAGAATAGCTGCAATTAGAAGATGGTAGACATTGCCTGAAGTTGTTTTGGTAAAATATTTGAAGTGAGGTTGTCTTGTGTAGCCAAAATATACTACTGCTTTCTGCACTCCATTCCAATGATAGCCAGGAACTAGTTCAGGTCATGGCAGAAGTTAAAAGACTTGCTGACCTACTTTAGTATGTGCTGGGATGATCTAGTTCTGTGATCCCAGGCCTGTGATACAGGATCAGAGTTCAGTCCTGCCCTTTCTGTCTGTGAAATTGTAGGAGGAGTGTGAAGTATGTCTGAAGCCATGTTCACTTATCTTCTTGCATTTCCAGTCATGGCACCTTAAAAAGATTACAGCCTTCAACTGCTTATCATCTTCCCTCCGCTGCCCTGCTCCCTGGTAGAGCTGTTTGAGTGCTCACTAACCCACTTCAGTTTAAATCAGCTGGGTTAGCGAAGATCCACTGTTCAACAGCTTACTGTTTAAACTAATCTGGCTCATTTTGACGGAGTACGAGGTTATACAAGCAGCAAAGAAGGATGGTGAAAAACAGATGGGGCAGTAACTTCTTCAGCTGGAACTCGAAGATCTGAATCCATGCCTTGAGAGTATGACTCAGGAGGTTTGCATCACAGTACCTTATACGCTGGAGGAGGCAAACTCTGAATTATATTCTGACCATGTTGCTTTTTACTGCGTTAACTAAAAAGAACATTCTGCAGCTAAGGCAGCCAACCTGATAGAGCTCTTTGTTTCTCTGCTCAAACAACAGTGCTTTCTGGTGTTCCCTCGGGGTCTGCTTTGCCAGCTGCCTAGTCTTAGCATGTGATGTAGTTCTGTGTTTGTGATATGTGTGTTTGTATTGTCATTCGATGTGATATTGTGTCAGATACTGCTATTTCTATTTTGTCTATGAAACACATACCTTTTAAGAGAAACTCAACAGACAAGAGAACAGTTTGAGGGCAAAGTCCCCACTGCAGTTTCTACATATCTCATATATGACAGCTGTTCTTAATGTCATTTCTCCACCATTCTGAAATCACAGAGATCTCTCATTTCTATCCCCAATTAGAACAGGATGGTTATTCACCTGATTCTGCTTTCACTTAGATCAGAACAAATACGGAGTAGCTTCACTGAAGACAAAAGGTACATACTAGCTTGAAACTACAGTGAGCCTTGGAGGTGATGACATTTTCAGCCTAGTTGGTATTGAATAATAATTCACATTTTATGGTCCTTTGCTCCTTGGATTTTCTCATCTTCATGTACGTTTGATGCCTGGATCATAAACATAGAGGATAGTTGTTCTTCTTTGTATAAACCCCTCTCTGAATTCATGCTCTGCACAAAACCTAGCCTCGTGTTTGCCTTTGGAGGCCTGCCCAGTGCATCTTCGATACTTACTGAGTCAGAAATGGACTGTCTTAACAGCCTCATTTTACATACGGTTACAACTTGCTCTCAAGTTTTAACCACCCAGAAGCACACTGGCAAGCTCCTGCCTCCCAGGCAGTTTAAATTTAATGATTGACATTCTCCACATATCCAAGAAAGTCTCTCCTAAGAATGCATGTTAATTTAATAGAGAGCAGACCATTTTCATCTCGTTACTCAGAAACGGTCTGATTTCTGCCAGGCATGCTGTTTGAATTTCTCAACTGTTACCCAACTATTACAGCTGGACCATCCTGCCACAGCTGTGTTGTCTGTCATCCCTTGACTGCCATCAGTGATAGCACTCACAGCACAATTTCTTCCCGTTTCAGATTCTCATCTTTGTATACTGAAAACTTCTGTCTTCTCCACTTGTGCTTATGGACTTAACTGTTGGTGAAGCAGTCATTTTTTTCCCAGCTAGTGTCAGTCATTATCTGTGAAATTCCAGCTAATATGTAGTTCTCTAGAAAAGTATTGGTGTCAGAAACATATGAGTTTTCTCCTAGTTGGCAACTAAAACACCTACTTTCTGTGGCCTACCTAGTCCAATTAAAAGTATTTGATTTATAGATTTAGTAGTTTCAAACTCTTCTCCAATTCGGTGCAGCTTAGAGAAAACTATACATCAACTGGGCTTCTTTTCACTATCAGTCATGACTGAGAAGCCAAGGTAGATCTTGGTAATTCATGAAAACGGGGTCTTTTGCTGACCAGTATCATCCTTTGTTAATCTAACCTTATTTTTCATGTTTTACATGATTTTTGATGTTCAAGGAGCAGACGTTATTGCATAGCATAAAATATTTTTATCATCTTCTAAAAATACGCTCTAATATGCACGAAAGGAAATATTTAGAAAAGAAGCACAGGTTAAATGAGAGCATCACAATATAATGCGGAGTCTTTGTTCCAATAGTAGCCGAGCTGAACAGAGAAAGTGTATTTGAAAGCAAGCTAGCAAAACATACCATCTTTGAATCAAAATTTGTAATTTGTCAGAAATTGGTACTTCTGAGCTACATAGTACTTAGGAGAGACATGGTTTCAAGACTAGATTTGTACTGTCAAGGCCCAAGGCCTGTCAGAGCATGACACGGGAACTTGAAATGGTGGATGAAAGCTTTAAAAAGAACATGTTTCAGCTTCTGATTTTCCTAGGCAAGTCTCACTTTCCTTCTGTGATTGGATAAGAAAAAGAGGTACATCTGAAACATATTAAAAACAGGATAAAAGTGAGTAAAATATTACCTCTAGAATGACGGAGTGGAGTTTTAAATTACGAGATACTAAGTTTACTTTTCACATCTTGAAAACCTCTTCCAAATTTAAAATACATATTTCACCTCTGCCATAAGTTCTGTCATGCTTTCAATCACAATAGTTTCAGCCAAGACAAAATGTTTCAGAAATGAGGGACTCAATCCATAAAATTTCTGGTGCCACTTGTACTTAACTTTTCCAAATACCTATGAAAAATCTCCTTTTTAGGACTCTCTGCATACAGTCATTTAAAGAGGTGCTCTGGTTTTCAAAAACTCAGCTCCCAGTGATTTCTGGTTTTCTAAGCCATGCACGCTAGGGCTTTGTTAGCTAAAACAGTTAACCAAGCGCCCCGATTCTGAGAGGTGCTTGGTTCTCCATACAGTTTGCTGTTTACGTAGGTACCTGAACATGCTAAGAGGTACCCACTGGTTCTGAAGTCTTGGGTTAAATGTCCCATAATCAAGGGCAACAGATGTCATCTAACTTTCCTCATCAGGTAAAAACTTCTCACCTTCTTTTCATTGTGAACACCTGTAACTATGAATATACAGAATGATTATTTGTTATGTGCCTTTCTCTTTTTTTTTGAGAAAAGCTTGCAGAGTGACAGTTGTGTGGGGCTGTAGCTGTAGCCAGTATGAACAGAAGGAGCTCTCTTCAGTAGGGAAAACTGCTTCTTTGTTTGTAAAATGGTATTTGAGGAATCAGGGGTTCTCTCTGTAAAAGAAGAGAGCAAGAACTCTGGTAAAATCATTTTGAGGGCAGTAATAAAGATCAGTCTTGATAATCTTTAATTTACTTGAAGCTACCAAATGGAGACTTTAGTAGAAATAACAGCAGCAGCACTCCGACTCAGCAGGTCACTCAAGTGCAGGCTACCTGTGTACATACAGTTAGGCCGGTATTTCAGAGCTTTGCCCTGTCACAAACTGATACACTCAAAAAACCTAATCTAACCATTTTCCTCCTTCTCTTTCTCTCCCGCTTTGTTCCATAGGCTTTCTCTCACAGCTCGTCTATGACCGGCCGGTGACCGAGTGCATCCGGGCTGGACATTACGCAGCCAGCGTAATTATCAAGCGTTCAGGTTGCACCTTCCCAGAGAAGCCTGACTTCCACTGATACTGGTGAATTGGAGGGATCAAGAGTAACTCCTATGTTGCCATGGGATTGCTGCCTAAATTTTTCCTCCTTCCCTTTCCTCACCTTTCCAATTACCTGCATCAACGCTTCTGTACTTCTGTTCATCGTATTCTAAACAAAATGTATATTTCTATGGTGTTTTCCTTTTCATACTACTACAATGTCTCAGTAGTCTTAACTTTTGGAAACAGTGCTAAGTGAAGTTTATTCTCTCATCCATCAGGAAAAATTGTTCTATTTACACAGTTTATAAGGAAGTCCCAAGTAAGTGACACTGCTGATTAACACCATTAAAATACTTCTGTTGAATTATCTAGTTTGTATCCAGCTGTGGCCAAATCCTGCTCAACTTACGTGAAATCAACAGACCTGGCTTTATTTGTCACTTAACATTATAAACCAAGGATTGTTCTTTCTATATAGTGGAGTCACACAAGTGTAGAGAGTGGTGTAAATGTCCCAAGAATTTGCTTACATATTTGAGTGTGCAAGATCTGGCCATCAGGTGCAGCCCAGGTTCCGCGCAAGTGAATAGCTATTTGGTCAGTAACTTAAGGACCTGATCCGAAGCTGATGGCATGCGTTCAGTCGTCTTGCACTGATGCCAGCAGCTTTGGGTCTGGCACTATGTGAGAGCAGGGTCTGGCCACTCTATGCCCCGTCACATTCATCTGTCAAGTGAACGAGCAGATAGGTACTTTCAGTGATTTCAGGGCAGATGCATGTGTTGATGATAAACATAAACATACAGAGAGATCCTATCTCCTCCATGTGAGCTTTCTAGAGGCTGTATTTAATTAAGGTACACATAGGGAAAATGAGGTACAGAAATATTTATGCAGGATATATTGACAGGATATGCCAAATGGAATCTCTGCAACGCACATTTTTAAACTTTTAATTTACTTTGGATAATTAAGCAATATGGTGGATTTTGTTTGTATTTACAGTATTCAAAGAAGTGATCTGACACTGCATTCATTACTTTGCTATGTAATTTGATACTGATAAATAAAAAATTGTCATACAGTAACTCCTGGTTTTGTATCGGTATGTGTCCAGCTTTTCTCCATGTATTGTACTGAAATGGGAACAGGAAATAGATGCTTAACCCGCAGTACCTGCTAGATTTTATATGTGACTTTCAGTGTCCAGGTGAGTGTTCAAGGGTGGCCTCAGCAGTAAGGAAGGGAAGGAACATCAGTTTGGTGTTTGTACCACAGGAGAGTTGAAAAACTAATGGCTAGGGTTCATCGAAGAACATTTAGTCAGTGCGGGCTTTGCACTTTGCTGCATAGCATGGAACAAGGGATGCACAGAGATTGAATGTTGTTATTACAGTTTGTGTATTGCAAAGAGCACAGGGAGAAATCAAGGGTATGATCCCGATTCTCTTGTTTGGCCCAGTATCCAGTCTGAATGGACAACAGGCTCTGTTGTCTTAGAGGTCACCTGGTGGGATCCCTGCAAGTACATCAAGGAGCTTCAAACCAGCCACTTCTGAAAGTCCTCATGGGGCTATGGAACTCCGTTGTCGCAAGCACGGGTCGCTGCATCGTACGTACGGTCTGTTCTTCAAGGACTCGGGCTCATAGTTTCTATCTGAAAAACGCTGCATGTGCAGGCCTTGTCTATCTGTGCACCTATTAATGAACAGCTTTGTGCAAATAAGACTTGTCTGGTTTCTTCATAGTGCTACTCTCAAACGAGCTTTGGACTTTACTTTTCTCATGTTCTAGCATAGGGGAGAGGAAGAGGAATTAATATATTGGAGTGAAAAGGGAACTGCAAACAAAACTGAAAGAGGCTACAGTGTGCGTGGTCTTCAGGCTTTGCAGAAGAATATTATTTTTTACATCTCATGGTTAATTTTTAATTCTTTAACTTGATGTATCCATGTGATATACTTTAATCAAGAAAAGCTGACAGGCCGAGGAAGGATGTGTTGCAGTCCCTGCATATGCCACACCACACGTACTGCATGAATTTGGCTGTCAGTAAGGAAAAACCCAATGGTCTAGTGGTTAAATTTGCTGTTCCCTTTGCTCTGCATCTGTGACACTTTCCAATCCTTTTGAAACAACTTTATCAATGTCCTGGCCAGATAATTATAGCCATTTAAAACAGAATATAAATATGTAAACATTCTTTACCGTGCCAATGAAACTATAAGACAGCATAACGACTGTAAAGGAAGGGAGGATATGTAAAGGAAGGTAGTCATAACATAGCGGGGGTTCGTTCTTTCTTTCTTTCTCTAGGCTATCCCTTTTCAATTCAGGGTGCAAGAGAGTCAAGTCACAGGTTCTGTTCTGAGCTTTTCCACTGACGTGCTTGGTGAGCTTGGGCTCCTGACATTTGGCTCTGAGTGTCAGCTACAAAGCATAATTTGAAGCCAGTGGGAGCAGCTGAGGAATAAACTACTGCCCAATTCGTGGAAGGGCATCAGAGTCTGACCTGCTCTATTTAGCCATTCATTATTTCTCCAATATCTGTCAATGGATATTCTTGGATGATATATAGATACTTAGAAACGTATTGCCAAATCAAGCTAAATAATTTCAATTTGTGCTGTCAAATTGCCTGACGATTTCATTCTGGATTCTTTTCAGGATCTGTACTTCTTTCCTGCTTCTCACTGATGAAGGGGTTTCTATCTATATAATGGATAATGGTGCCATCCTTAATATTCTCTCTCACAAATATTCTTCCTCTCTCTTTGGTCCTCTACCAGCTTATTCCACACAGAGGCATGTTAGAAAACTGGGCTTCCTGAAAAACGTCATTGAAAGAGTTGTCTGCCAGTGACATGTGCCACTGTCTCAAATCCCAGATGGGATAACTGCAGTGAGTCTGTCGCTGAGCTTCAGCCATCATTCAAACCCAGAGTTCTTACCTGGGTTACTTTCAGGAAAACGAATATTGGAAATCCATTTCCCACTAGCCACCGGCCCAAGCATATCACCCTCACTCAGATAGAACTCTTCCCTTTTGCTGGAGATAAGACTGCACCTCCTGTGCCCAGCGTCATGGATTTTAGGCTTGTTTTAATGTCCTGCAAGTGGGTAGTGATGCTGCTGAGATCAACAGGCAAGGAAATAGGCCTGGTATTTGCAAGGCCACATGCTAAATAGCTGAGAAGAATTAAGAGTTGGGGATCAGGAAATAAAGGTTGTATTTCCGTTTCTGCAGGTGATCCACTTTGTTCCTTTGGGCAGATCACTTTCCTCTGCCAATCTCTTTCTCTCTGTAACGAAGATGGTAAGCTCAATTAGATGGTAAACTCAAGAGGTGAAGGTGGTAAGAAATCAAGCAGGGCAGTGTCAGCCACATCTCTGCCTGTACTCATTGCTGGTCTTCTGAGTATTTGAATTTTCCCTTTTGTGCAGGAACTAATTTAAAGCTATTTGTTTACCCTTAAAAAATAGTGCTAGGTGTTACTACTTGTTTGAGGGGTAAGGCAGGGAAGGCAAAGGAGGGGAAAGGAAGGGAAAAAAGCTTTACTTGCAAAGTGAAGTAAAATATGCTACATGAAAATGACAATAGAAATGCACACTGTTTTAAGATGACAAGTCTGGGAACAGTCTTTAATTTAAAAGGTCTTATCCACAGTTTTTGTAAAGAAATGTTAATTAAAAGTGTGATGACATGTTTGGGATTTAAAGGAAATCATTCTGCAAAGGATTTATAGCAATCACAGCTCCAGAGCATTAGGATTACAGATCCTTGTGCTGTTCCTTTTCAGTGATCATGTGATTGGCCTGCTGTTAAATATAGCTCCCATTTAGTGAATTGAGACAGGCATGGGAAAGGTAGGGATAGTTTCCCTTTAACCAGCGGGATTTCAGAGGTGTTGGAGATTATACAATTCATTAGTTTTTACATAAGATCAAAGGGAGAGAGGAAGTCTTAATTTGGGCACCAACTGCTGCTGTCTGAAAGTCTTGCAGATGAAATGAGAAGAGAACATGTGCGGTGCTAACTGCTTGTGTTAGAGCATGAGCCTATTGTTTTATATCTCACTAACTCATTGTTCTCTTCCCGGAGATAATTCTCACACTTAAGACCTTCAGAGATAGTTATGTCTATTGTGAATAGTTCAGCAACCAACTGGCTCAGAGGTTATTGCCTAAGCATCTTTCTCTTGGTCTAATCCCCTGCAAGGTTTTTTTCTGAGCAGTGTTGTTAATCTAAAATGACTGCTAACTGACTTCTGTGTCAAACATTATTCATTATGTGCTTTAAATGCTTCCTGCAGAGGCCAAAATACATTTTGCTTTTTAAAAGCGGACCACAAGGAGTGCCTATGTAGGATATTTCCTAGAAGATTAGGCTCAAAATGGCAGTTAAGGTGGTGAGGGGGAAAAAACTGTGCTCAAAACAAAGCTTCACAATTCAACCAGGGACATACAAAATGGACAAACGTCAGTTACCAAAACCCACTTTTCATATAGAATTATCTGTAAGCTGTTCCTGTGAGAGAAAACATGCACCCTTGCAGGGCAGGAGAAAGATGTGGAATAAGCAACCTTATTAGGAAATGAAGGCAAAATAAACAAAATTTTTAAAAGCAGCAATTCTTTTGTGTCTTGGTTTTTTTCAGGTGTCACTGGTGTTGGCATAAAGCGAGAGGGGTTTTTTGTGTCAATGGCACTGACAGGCCTTGCATGCGTAATGACAGTATGGGAAGAGAGACAGACAGATAGATTTGAATAGCAATAAGGTGGGTTTTCTTCCAGTGTGAAAAGAGCATGGGATTCATGTGTACTGAGATGAAGTATAGCCTTGCTGCACAGTGCAAATATTTAATGCTGTTCTAACTATCCCTTGGTTATTGGAGTGTGACAGTTAATAGCCGTCAGCTGCCAAACCCAGTGAACAGTTTGGTTCCCTAAAAAGAAAATGAAAAGTTAAAAAATGAAGCCAAGTCAGACTAGGAACCCGCAAATCATAAATGTGCTATAGCTTAGCAGGCAGATCATCTCCAAAGTTCAGAGCCATGTCGACCTGAGCTGCTTCTCAAATGAGAGAAGGATCGAGTACATCTGTCTTCTAGTCCTGGCTTTGCCAGGTACTCACAGGCAAGCTTTGGCTGGGCTTTCTGCCTCCCGAGGCCCTGTTACTTCCTAGCGATGTTTGTAAAGGAGATTGAGTAAAGGCTGGAATGAAGAAAAGCAAAGCATTATCATTATTCTGGATCAAATATCTCAAGTCAGCGGTGCAGCGTAAATGCATAGAAAAATGGAAGAGCTCCTAAACTGCGTGTGAGAGAAATTGTGTGCTTGGAAGGCCGCCCTGTCTATGGTGCCGTGGAGATGTTAATATTGGTGTAAAATATTGCCCTAAAAGAAGCATTACTGTGGAATAATAACAGCATATGAGAGAATATTTCAAGAAATAGATTCAGCTTGAAAATCACCTTTCATTCTACATATTATTTTTCTTATTCGTGCTAGAAGTAACACTTCACTGTACGTAAAAATTGCTCTGTTTTGAATGTACCTACTTTTTGGGTCCTAGGGAATAGTCATATTCCCTCTTCCCCTATATATTTTCTGGCTGGTT